GCAGGAATGGGACACGAAAACTTAAACTAGTGCTTTTCTTAGCCCAAGGTCGAAGAAAAAGGTCAAGCGGCAACTCAAAATCGAAGCCGCTGTATTTTCAAGCAGTCCTCAGTACCTCACCAACATTCTCAAGCAGTCCTCAGCTGCCACAAAAAAATTACATCAAAAGAGCCCGAAACTTTCTGAAAGCAGTGAGGTCGTTGAGCTGCCCTGCGTCGAAGCAGCTCAAAACTACGCAGGTCGAAGTGAGTAGTGAGGTCATCGAGCTGCCCTAAAACGACAATATTCAGAGGTTTGTTCCCAGCGTTCCCAAAGTTCTCAGCATTCCCAATGTTCAAGACAAGTGCATATCCAAGCGGTGAAGTTTTGTTTTCTTAATCTGGAAGGATTCCTTAAGTCCTATAGATTTTCATTTTTAGGGGGCGTGCGCCCAAGATTTAATAAATCCTGTAAATTCGGATTTATCAAATCCAATGTTGTTAAATCCATAAATGTGTTGAGTACTATTAATGTTAAAATTTAATAAACGAAGTTTGCTCAAATTTGCCTTCTTACCCACAAACGTGCTTGTTTTTTTAAATCTAGAATGCCCCATTAACTTGTGCTGATAATGGAAGCTCTACAAGTTTTTGAGCCCAACTTGTTATTGTCATAGAGTATCATTTTTCATGTTCTTTAAAAAGGCTGATAACACCATACTTCGGCTATGGCTTTCCAACTGAATAATTCTATAAATGCTTTGCAGAATGTCATCTGCTATTTTTGCACTACTGTTATTGTGCCATTGATATGACTCCTTAAGATTTGAATTAAGGAGCATGTCTGTTCGATTGTGAAAAGCAGTCTTTCTTTTATGCCATCTTTGTGTGATTGAGATCGTGTAATTCTTTTATGAAATCTTTTGTAAAAAAAATAAAAATATATATTTATATTAATAATTCATTAAATATAAAAAAGGTGCCCATGCTAAATCATGTGATATTTTTTACAACTATGTTGTGTTGTCATATCGTATTGTGACATGGTCGTGTACCTGTGCTTCACAGGAATAAAGTCAGCTTAGTTGTCTCACATCTTACCACTTAAAAAAAACTTAGAAAATTTACAAACGTAGCACACAATTCTTATGTATTTACATATCTCATACCCGAACTTTCATATTTACATACATAGCATTTTGGTGATTTATATCTAAGCACGATAAGGTGTATTTGACTTTTAAAAATTTGTAACAGAGTTATTTTTAATGTGATATTAAAAATTTGAATGTTATCTATGTAAATGTTAAAGTTTACGTGTGAGAAATGTAAATACATAAGAATTGTGCTCTATGTAAGTAAATGCCCCAAAATACTTTTACATTCATTCCAACCAATACTACGTTAGTTTGCCTTCATATACGACTATAATGCATTGCCAAGATAACCGCGTGTTGTCCAGGGATTCAGGAATATTAGAAGTGATCTAACAATAATTTGCATTATCAGCAAGACGGAAATTTACAGAACAGCATATTAGACTTTCTGGCAAACTTGGGGCGCAAAAAGAGAAAGAAATGGAAGGGTACAAACCGCATATCTTAAAAAAAAAATGATAAATTAAAGTTTGATGAAAAACTAACTTTGCCACGACAAACTGCAAAAAATATTGCCCCCGACATAGTCTTGTCATGCAGCTTTGCTTCAAAATCCTGAAAGAAGAGCAAAAGAAAAAATAAATTAGAAAAACGAACTTGAAAAGAATGAAAAGTTTGTTTTTAAACCTTTTAAGATAATATGTAGCTGTAGTGGGACCACACTAAAAGTGCTAGAGATGAAAGTACCAATAGCTTAAAGTGTCACCTCGATAGCATTCGGAAAAAGTGCCGACTGCTTGGGTTCTATGACAGGTTGTTTATTTTTGCAGATTCTTTCCCATATTGTAATGCATTCACTCGACCTCGCATGGCTCTGTAGATTTAAATCCATTCGCAAATACACCAGTGCAATAAAGAGCATTAAATCAAGGGGATTTTACATACATACCACCCAATTCTTATATATTTGCATAACTAAAACCTAAGTTTTGATTTTTACATTTATAACACCCAAATCTTTCGTATCATCCTAGCCGAAAGTTGGTAAAACCCCTTCCTACCACTGGTTTAACTTTTAAATAGAGAAATACACCACTTCATGTATAAATTAAAGTTTAGGTGTTAGATATGTAAATACATAGGAATTGAGTGGAATGCATGTAAATCATCCTTAAATCAATTACGAAGAAGATAATTTCCTCACCATATTCTTCCAACATTCAATGCATTGATCCATAAGATAGTATGAGGGAAAGAAGACGAGTAATCCAGCAGGCACAATTTTAGAAAAATTCACTGCAGCAACACAAAAAGAAAAAGGAGCATTTACATAACCCAATTCCTACGTATTACATATTTAACACTTAAAATTTACTTTTTAGATTTATACCACCCAAATATTTCATATCACATAAAAAATGCCACCATTTTAACCTTCAAAAAGTTAAATGCACCTTCTCATGCATAGGTAAGGTGGCATATACGTAAACATTGAAGTTTAGATGTTAGATATGTAAATAAATAGGAATTGAGTGGTATTTATGTAAATCTTTCAAAGAAAACACATCAGTGCAGAATCGTGACTCTAAATTTGTACTAACTTCTAATAATCTAATGCATACCAATGGTGTTGCCAAGCTCCTGCTTATACTCTAAAGAATCACGAGTGCGATAGGAGGAATTAAGTGAATAACCAGATGGGCCACTTTGTACAACTCCAACCCAGACCTGATCTGGTGATACAACATGAGGATTCTCTAACCTCACTGGAAATCCCCTTCAAATAAAGAAATAAAAAACCAAACATATAACAGTAAAAGTGTTTTAAATGACAAAATAAATAATAATAGAAATTAAATACCGCGACAAAGAAAAATTTAAGACTTATTTGATATTAATTTTGTTTTTTTTTGTTTTGGTTTTTGTTTTTTTCCCCTTAATTTTTAAAAATATGTCTGTTTGATGTGTTTTTAACATGTTTTTATTTTCGCTTTAAGAAAATAAATAAACATATGTTTGAAAACAGGCAAAAACATTCAACATAACTTTTGGGCGTTTTGCCTGTTTTTAAAAGCAACTATTTACTAAATCAAGTGATAATTACGTACATAGCACCCCAAACATCACTATTTAAAAAATCTAGCACCCATGTGAAAATTTTGAACTACCGAACCGATATATTTATGCGTGACAAAATCAAACCACTGAAAATTTGATAAAAATGAAATATATGTGTTGGGGTTTTATCATTATATTTGATATTTGAGTAAGAATTTCAAAAAAAGATTAAAGTGGGTGCTAGATTTGTAAATAGCAATGTGCAATGTATGTAAAAAACCCCATTAATCAACCATATCAAATAAGTTTTATTTCAAATCAAAACATAAAAAAAATAAAATTAAAATAAGAAAGAGAAAACAAAAACAAAAGTGATCCCAAACGGCGCCGTAACGTACAAGTTCATTTCTTGGGCACATGATTCAAGAGGAGATAACGTTCCAGATGTCAATATAATTGAGCGCACACCCAATTTCACAAATTCTTTCATTGCGAGTCCAGGGTTGAAACACCACCAGCTAAGCGACCGGGAAAGTTTACCTGCATCAAGGGAATTGCAAACATAAGCGACGAGAAAATTATCCCAATGTTTTAAAAACTTCAAAGTTATTTTGTTAAAAAATCCTTTTGATATTACACTAAATTGGTTCTCCAAGAAGGCTAAAATTTACCAAGTCTATTTTCCATTATTCTTTCCTAAAAATTCGATGTATGAATCATAAAAAAGATTCATAAGATAGTTTATAGAAACTCGAATATCTATTTTATTCTTAAATATTATAAAAAAAGTACTTCTTGGATCATTTACCAACCTACTAATCCACACAAGTCTGTTATAATCAGTTGTCACCTTTTATCTGATGTGTCAGATTAAAACATAAAGAGCAACTCTAATATCTGTAATTGAAGGTGAAAATTATAAAAATGCATTTAAAATTGGAGAATGGAAGTAAAACCAGTACCTTTCAGGGAATCTGAAGTAATTGATTGTGACTCCTGCACATGGAACTTCAAACAAAAAAAAAAGAAAAAAGAAAATATAACCTTATCAAGACAAATATTTAAATAAAATTGATGAAACAACAAAACAAAATTACATCAAAGTCATTTAGCTCATCCACCTAAGAACCAAAAAAGATATCAAAGACAATTACACATGCTTGTCCCAGAGAAACTTACACGATAAAAGCTGGCATGGCTTTTACCACCATCCCTGAATACAATTTTAAGGATGTTTCCGATGATCTCTAATCTGCAAGCTGTGTTAGGTTGTCTTTGCCTTCCATCCTGAGATGTATTGCCTGGTAAATGCCAAAATTCAAGAGTTCACAGAGTTATCGCATGAAAGCATATGCATGAGGCTTTTGAGAAAAGAGGTGAGCAATTATAAGCTGCATTTGCAGTGAGGCGGGCAGTTTTGCAAACTATCACAGTTCTAATTAGTTGCAACTTCTTTTGTTTTATAAAAGGGAGACGTGCATACATAGCACACAATTCTTATGTATTTACTGTCTCACAATTAAACTTTCATATTTACATACATAGCAATACTGCACTTTAAACTTATGCATGATAATGTGGACTTCACTTTTAAAAAGTGATAATAGAGTTATTCTTGATGTGATAGATATTAAAGATTTGAATGCTATATGTGTAAATATGAAAGTTTAGGTGTGAGGTATGTAAATACATAAGATTAGTGTGCTATGTGTAAATTCCCCTTTATATATATATATATATATATATATATATATATATATATA